TATATATATATGCATGGTGTCGTTCCCCTCTGCTAGGGTTTCTCCTCACGGCGAACTCTAGCTTTCGGATCATCTCTCTCGCGTTTCTATTTACCTTGTGCTTCGTCTTTGTCGACGTCGGTGCTTGCGTCGTCGTTTGTTGCTGTGCTTCACGTTCGTGTGTTTCTGGTTGCAGGCTCGTGACTTCGCACCCTTCCAGACGAAGAGGCAGGCCGAGTTTACACATTTCTTTTCAGACGACGTCCTCGTCTGTCCAGGACGCCTCCTCGCGTCGTCTTGGTCTGGCGACAGAGCTGTTGCTCTGCTCGCTTGGTCACGTTTCTCGCTGCTCTGCCCGAGTTTTTGCATTACCTTTCAGACGACTGTCTCCTCGCTTCCTGTCCGACAAAATCTTGTCGATAGAGATGGCTATTCGTTTCTATGCTACTGCACTTGCCGACGATCTCTCGATTCCTACTCGTGCTCCTCTTTCAGAATCAGAGACTGGTTTTCGTATAGGTAAATCTTGCAATGTTCTTTAATTTTTTCACGATGCTCTTGAAGGTGGTGACGATCATACCTTCATAAAAAAATTGGGAAGTCTGCTTTTATTCTCACAGAGGTTGAAACTAGTACCCTCTCGTCCTCTTGGCGTTTTGCTCTGGTGGGGAAATTTCTTTATGGTAACCCAAAATTAGAGATCATTCGGAAAGAGTTTGAGGTTATGAAACTATTGGGCAATTGGAATATTGGTATACTTGACGGTCGACACATACTGATTCAGTTCTCTCATGATGTTGATTATACCTGCATATTTTCTCGGAAAGTTATCAAGATCGACAATCGTTATATGAAAATTCTGAAGTGGACTGTTGGTTTCGACCCAAAAGCGGAGTCTCCTATCATTCCAGTTTGAATAAAATTTTCGAGGTTAAAATTACATTTGTTCAATTTGAAAATTCTCTATTCCTTAGCAACTGCTTACGGTAAGCCTCTCAGGGTTAATAGTCCTACGCTTGCTGTCACCAGAACCTCTGTGGTTTGTGTGTTTGTTGAGAGGGATATTACTCAACCCGCTCCGGATGAGGTGTGGATTGAAACCACTCACAATGAGTATTGACAAAAGGTTGAAATCGAACCACACCCTCCTTATGGCTCTCGTTGTTGTATGTTTGGCCACAACTCTACTATTTGCTATCGTTTGCATCATCATCTAAGGCCGAATATCACTAAAAAATAGCCACCTATTATCCCTGTTGAGAAATTACAACCTGATCCTCTTCCCAACACCGTAGTTCCTAAAGAAGAACAACATACTATAACTACAGATCTAGTTGTGCTTATACCACCCACTTTATTGAAGAAGACTCACTTACATGCCAAGACACATGAAAGTGCTTTGATCCTATAGCAGATCAGCCGGTACAACATATCGTTACTTCTAATGTTCAACAATCTGCACATCTCCAACACACTTTAGATCAAGGTCAGGTGAGCCAATCTTCGGAAGAGGAATGTCATGTCTATTCCAGGAGGAAGAAGAAAAATGGAGGCCGACGCTAGCTAGGGAATATATTGGATGATACATCTACTAGCAATGACAATCATCTTACCAACTTATTAGCGTGCTCCTTCTTTATAACCAGAGGCAGAATCAAAACCAAATTGGGTTGCTCTCTAGCCATCTGATACTTTGTATTCCAACCTTTTTAGGCTTTTTCTTTATGTCTTTTCTGTATTTTCTAGTTTTGGAACCACTTGTGGTTTTGGTATGGACAGGGTGTCATGTTTGGGCCCTTCAACACATTATATCTGTATCTTTCTTTCTAGTTAATATATTTGCCTTTCTGGGCAAATATATATATATAAATATATAAATATAT